AGGCGATGAAGTAACACTCACCTGTGCACTTAGGCACTGCACGATGTTTCCTATTAAACGCGAAAATTCACACAGAATCCAGACGAATTTCAAAATCTTCCCCCGAAAACCAATTTTCGAAATTTGATAGCTTTCGTGTTCTGATAACCCTGTATGTCATCCCAGCCCCTTTTACTTGACTTCGAGACCAGAACGCGTGCAGTAATGCTGAATATTAATGGTTTCAATAATTGACAAGGTAATTGGCTAGTCTTTTGATCTGCCGCCTTTACTTCGATGCTTATAATCTTACGGCTTTGACAAGTGGTTCTAAAGTGCATCTTGACGTAAGTGACGTTTGTCATAAAAGTTTTCGAATCACCTCTTCTCAAGTTCAATGTGCATGCGTATGCAGACTTGTTGGGCTATAAAAACGAAAAAAAAAAGATAAAAAATAAACAAATACTGAGAATGAAGGAGATGGTTTTCGTGTTTTTTCCCCACCAATATAAAGGATATTAACCTCAAGGGCATGACGCGCAAATTACTAAATTTTTAACATCACAACTTCGTAATCAAAATATTGAAGCCTTCCGTTGACTTAGCGTTAAGAGAAGCTTAATTGGTAGCGATTCAACCCCAAAACAGATATATTCTTTTTTGAGGTCGAATTCACAGCAATGTTTTCGTTGATGTTATCCACCACGTGGCATTGTTTATACAGACGTTCCGGTCTGGAGTACTATCATCAGCGTGATTAGACTCGTTGAACTCCTTACGCCTTATCAGCCCTTTTACTTAATTAAAGTGTACTCTTGAGTCACTACTTAAGAGACAGACTGATCGACTTAGTAGGGTCAGGGCAGGTGGTTTTTATTACAGTTTGTTTTCAATTTTTAAAACATAGACTAAATATTGAAAATAGATTACCCTTTGTTCGTCAATTTAGCCTGTATAGCGGCCCAAGAGATGGGATGGGGTTGTGGGGAATGGGGAGAGGAGGGAAAGGAGGTCAAGCAGTGTTTAAAATTTTAATTTTTCACAAAGGGATGCAGGTCCTCATTTCCCTCCTTTTCCCACACCCCATTCCCTCCCCCCTTCCCTCCAATCCCTCTTTCACCATCTCTTTTGGGCCACTGCGCAGTTAACGAAAACAGGACAGACGACTTGTGAAATAAAATCTTTACTAATTACCCATTGAACTTGAGAAAGTTTACGCTATAGATATGTCAAAATGTTTTCATTAAGCTGTTTTTCTTTGATATTTTTTTCCGCTCACCAATTATCTCAAAAATCTCAATTATCTCACAATCAAGTTAAATTCGTAATCCGATTTAGCTAAAGCTCTTCATGGCGTTTCGGTATTTATATTTAGATGAGATCTAACTGAATGTAAGCTGSTTGATTCAGGAGCATTCTCCGTTTTTCGATTCCTTCCGCAAAAACTAACGAGTTAAATTCCAGCCGATCTTTGAGTTTACCGTGCCTTGACTTAGATCAGCCTATAGGTTGTTTTAGGGTTCGATCCGTGAGTTGCATGCTTTGACGCAGATCAGCCTAGAGGTTGTTTCAGGGTTAATCAATATTTGAGTTGGCATTCCCTGACGTAGATCAGCCCCAGAGGTTGTTATAGGGTTCGATCTGTGAGTTGCATGCCTTGACGCAGATCAGCCTGGAGGAGGTTATTTCAGGCTTCGATAAAAATTTGAAGGAAAGCGAACATGATGCATTCTGGTCCTGCGTGAGRAGAAACCTCTCATCTTCTACCTCACGAAAGCTAGCCAGCTGCACCTTATTTATCAAGCTAGAAAAGGTTATAGGTGGTTTCGTTTCTATTCAACAAACTCACTAAGTATATAAACACAACGCAGTCGTCAGTATTATATGTCCCAGATGCTCTTGGACTGTGCGCCCAAGAGCAGAACTGCTGTTCTATGATTTTCCCTGGTTTTTCAAAATTATTTAAAAAAAACTTTTTTTTGCAATTCACGAAGTATTTCAAGTAATAAGAATGCACAAAGTTTTTTCGACCAATCAAAATGCACGAAAACTTTGCGACCAATCAGAATGCATTTCAATATCTCCATCTTGTCTTGTTTTGGCGTGTGTTTTTTCTTTGATTGGACTATGAGTATGTTGTGTTTAAGGCCACTCAGAAACCTTAATTAATATAATATCTAGCATCCCGTAAACCAATTAGATGAAATTAACCCCGATTTCCTTCTTATACTAAGAATGAAACAATTCTTGAAGATAAAACTGTTGTAGATTTAAAATAATCTTTAGCCTCGTCATGGCTGGGAATTTGGTTGTAAAGTCAGCATTTTGCTCGTTTAATCTTTGTTTTCCTGTTGACATAATCTTTCGAGCAGCTTTGAACAGTGTCGATTCAACTCGGGACAGATCAGTAACCAGATATTAAAATACAATTACTGCAGCTTATGAAAAAAATGTGTGCGTGTATTTACTTGATCAAGTGTTTGGAAGTAATAGCCAAAAAACTCAATCAAAATAAKAACTAAAATAGGCGAAAAAGAAAAAGAAAAAAAGAAAAAGAAAGAGAAATGAATGTAGAAAAGAAACTAAAACACGTAAAAAGAAGAAAAGAAAAAAGAAGAACAGCCAGGAAAGAAAGGAAAAAAAGACTACTACAAAAAATATACTTTTAATTTTTTTTCTATTTTCGTTTCAAGTTCCATTCATTCACGATATATAGACYTTATTCGTGGTGTGACAACCTCTGGGGGAATGAAAAGCTATTGTTTTGAAACTCGTCGGGATATCATCGTTATTCCTTTCGTTATCCTTTGGGATACTCATGAATATTTCGAAGAGTAAAAACAATCCTCTGGAGGTTTATAGAATTGGGAAAACATTGTTACACCATGAATAAGGTCTTTTATAAATATTCATATCCCATATGGCGGCCTCAAAACTTGTTTGGATAATCCATTACCAAATTAGTCCCACCCCAACCCCCCTTGGTATTATAACCTAATTTAACAATAGCATGACAGACTGTTTATGAGTTGACCCACAGTCGATATACAGCCCAAAGGAGTACGCGGCTAGCTCATTTAGTATTTACACAAACATTTTAGGCCTATCAGACAAGGATATTGCTTTTCTAATATCCAGTAATTCTTCTAATATAAGACGTATCCGCGTCGTGTTAGTCGGTTCCCTCGTAGAGCGTATGTATTGTAAGAGCGGCTTAGCAGATTATGAATTTCGAAGCTAGCAATTAGACCTGATTTATCGTGGTGGCAATGTTTTCCCTACCAACTACTTTTCATTCTCTTCAGAATAATAATCTAGTTGTATCCATATTCATGTGTTTTCTCAAGTGCAATAAACAAAGTAATAATACTCAAGCGGAAATGACATGTGGCCTGTATTGGGACCGGTTGTATTTAAACATTGAATGTTAATTTCATAAGCTTAATAATAACAATTAATTATGATAATATCACTGTAATAATATGATACTTTGATTTCATCCGCCCAATATTAATATTTTTACTGGAACGAGTTTCAAACTCTTAGGAGATATATATATTCTATAGATGTGAGATTTAGATTATATATAAGTTTATTGATTCATATACTCATATGTATATTATATCATAGTATTTTTGCATAGTATTCATTTGAACCATGATCATTTCTTGACCCCAATTTTTTCGTTATCTTTTTGTCTCTCTATGAAAATTTTGTAATCTTATTTTTAACAATTTCACTGTTATATTGTTATTGTTTTGATATTAGTATTACACTTTATGTTAGCCTTTTTATTTGCTTATGTCAAGCGCTTTGTGCAACTAGTGGATAAAGTATTATTATTATTATTATTATTATTATCATTGTTATTTTGAAGAATAGAATTTGATACATATTGTTTGATAAATATATTATTATTATTACTATTATTATTGTTATTATTATTATTATACTGATAATAACAATAATTAGAAATTTAACAAATTTTCGATGGTTTTGCGTGGAATATCCCCTTATTTACCACGATACGCTGCGTGTGTGAGGGATTTGTAATTTGTTGACGTAATTTTTTTGGTATGTCCTCTTATTTTCCACGGCTCTCGACCAATCAGAAAGCGATAAAATTTAAATTTACGGCAAAAAATATTTTTATGAAAATAAATAATGCTGATATCGAGTAGGATAATAATATTATAATTAATAATAACGGGGGAAAATCATAGTAATATTAGTATTATTATTAATAACAGTTTTCTTACTAAAAATAGTTTGAATGGTTTATTAATAGAAGTTAATTATAATAATGCTAATATCACGGTAATAATACTTGATTGATACCAATGAGAATGATGCAACACCGACAATTACTACTGATAAGCAGTTATCTTCAGGACCGAGAAGAGTTTATAGCGCGGCATTCGTGTATAACACATCGTTCTTATTTTAATTTGAATACTCATGTTTATTATGTCTAGAAATAATTTAAACAAGAAAATTTTCCGTATTTGTTTGATTATTTACACAAGAAAAAAATTAACTTAAGAGAAACAGTTTCTCCGAGAAAAAAATCGTTTTGGTTGTTTTATGAAGTAGCTGGCACGTGAAATAATAGTTTACCAAGATCTTCATATCATAAATAATTATTATCTAAAAACGACAGTTCAAAAAAGGAGAACATATGAGGTTTCCTAACGAAATGACAATAGGCATATTACTGTTTTGATTTCTTTTCTAAAGTGACAGTTTGTGTAACATTGGTGTTGTTGCTAACTGGACCGAGCATGCGCAGACGTCCGCAGTCGATTTAATTCGCAAACTGATTCAAGACACCCACGTAGTTATCGTAACGAGATTGAGTATTCTGAAGATACCGGTCAGTCAATCTTTGCATGTGAAGCAAAAGAATTGATGACTTTTCGAATAAATGAAAATTAATGAAAATTTCCCTTCCGCAGAAGGAAAAAAAGCAAGAAAGAAAAAAAATGAAAAAAAAAAAAAAAAAAAAAAGAAAGAGAAAGAAAGTACGAAAGCCGAATAATGGAGGAAAATAATTAAGCTTTTCACAATCTCGCAATGAATCAGTAGCCGGTTCTTTTAAAAATATAGGTGCCATGTAGGTATGTCTATATCTATATATACGAAGATCTTGAAGTTTAGTGGCTATTTTACCACAAGAATTTACATTCCCGATTCAATTTGCTCGAGTGGACCTTCATTTTTTTWAAAAAAAATCTGTATTTTGAAACAAGAGAATTGAGTTTAAGTGACTGTCTGTATTCAAAATTTTTTTCCCCGACTTACTTCCGATTACAGTTAGGTACCAGAAAATTTGAAGTAATTATTTGACGTCGGTGGGCATTTGAAATGTGGATGTTGGCGGTTCCAGCGTAATTATGAAACACAGCACTGACTGTTAGCCTAGAAAACTAGTTCGGGTCATCTAAATAGATTGCTTTCATCGCGCTCCGGGGAGGAACGTTGCCTTATTGGCTGACTTACCAGAGAGAAAATTTATGACGTACGAAGACCATTCGGTGATCGTATTCCAGCCATACTGTGAATCTGTGTGAACCAAGACGTATGGTCTACCGTCAATCCATATATATTTTATACTTACCCCTCTGTCGAGAAACAAGATGGCAAGCGACAAATCTTCAACCAAAAAAGGTGAACCACTCTTTATTCGAAATTGTCGCCTCGAATGTATAGTTACCGATAAGATTCTTAGTGGCATCTTTATGCGCTTAAAATAATGCTTTTCGTTACGATATCATACGTTGTCATCACTAAGGTGTCGTGAACATATTCCTTGAAAATCGGTTTCTTCCACGTAATTGGAAAAAAAAAAAAAAATTCGCGTAGGTCTAAGCAGATTTTTGGGGTATTTTTCGATGAGCGATCCTCTTTCCATCGTGATTTTCTAGTTTTTTTATTCGGCAGCTTGTTATGATCGATCCGAATACCTTTGAAGAAGCAGCTGATTGGAGTACCCATCGTTCTGTTGTGTTGTTGAGAACATCGAATGCTCTTGTGTTTATTTATTTTGTGGGAAGGTTTTTGAGAAAATACTATTAAAAAACTTTAGATAAATGCCTAGGATATACAATCAATGTCATTAACGTTGTCCACCGAAAAAAGACATTAACACATTTACGCATTTAGACTAAAGTGAGCCTGAACTTTAAATGTAAAATTCAGTTCGTGAATCGAAAATCCAGAATGCCCCGACCATTTACTGAGGATTTAAGATGGAGAACTGTACTTCAGCGTTTGTTTTATGCCAGAACGTTCGAGGAAACACGTGATATTTCTTTTAGTCTAAATTTCTAAATGCGTGAATGTCTTTTTTCGGTGGACAACGTTAATGACATTGACTGTATACCACTCAAAAGATTGAATGGCTAAAATAACCAAGTTACAGAAGTACTGTACTCCGCGTTAGCATTTTGATTATCATCAACTCAGATTTAGCCGAGTTTTTGGTTTCTTATTCACGAATATATGAGACGAAACTATTTGTTCAAAAACACCATTTTTGAATTATCTAAAAGTCATTCACTTATACAAATTTATGTAGTGACCGAATACTTGTTATTTTGCGTAAATTATCTTAGGACTTTTGATTTATTATTTTTCGCGATAAACAAAAACAACAAAAAAAAAAAAAGAAATCCAATTTCCTTGTATTCATCATTTTTCCATCTAAAAACGGTCATTTTTAATTGCGTATCACATGTAAATAGAAACAGATATATCTTCTTTGCTTATCGACGAATGAATACGAAGCAATTCAGTATATGTCTGTGGTTTGCTTATGCAAAATTACTTAAGACTCGAGAAACCGCAAATCCGATAGAAGGAGCCGGTCTTTACCAGCCTTCAAGATGACAGTACTCCGCAGAGAAAAACACAGGCCTCCCAAATTAACATAATTTTGGAGTTGATCCTTATATAAAAATCTTCAAAAGAGAATGTTTTTTTAAAAAAAAAAGTAAATAGTTTTGTTCTCGCAAAGTGCATAGTCGGTGATTCATTTTTCATCACGCGTGTATCAAGTCTGAGTAGAAAACTAAAGTACCTGTGATCGTGACATGGCGCACATGATGTTGATTGATTGACATGTATTCAAATGTATTGTGACGTTGAACTCATAGTAGTTCTACCAGCCATAGGCCATCATTAATTTAAAGTAATCAGTCACATCAGACTCAAGTTTACTCACGAGACGGTTTGCTGGTTGTAAAACGAATGACTCAACGAACTTATTGATCTCAAACCATGCATTCGCACCTCATGGACGTCTACCTATATGTTCTTGATTCAACACGATTGATACTAGAAAGTTTTGACATTTCTCTTGTCTTGTGCTTCTTATTAATAATAGGGGTGATTGGAGCGTTCCTGAGAAAAATCTCATCATCTTCCAAGCATCCATGCACGGGATCGACAAGTAAGACCAGCAAGTCGAACCTGAAATCTTCTCCTCAACAAAACAAGAGACAAGGTTCGGTGACATTCGCTGAAGGGACGAAATTCGACGAACTAGCTCATCAAGATTCGGTAGGCAATTATTCTATACACACTTAGTTCCGATTGAACCTATCAAAGCTTACTCTAAAGAGCATTCTTTTGTCTAAAATTTACTTTCTTTGAAAATTTTAAATTTTAATTCGTGTCGTAAAGTTTAGTTTAGTGTAATGTATGTGGCCTAGACAATGGCCGAGAAAGAGTTTTGGAAGATATTAAAACTCATGAATTAGGACAAGAAAAGTGAAATGATCTAAAATAGCGTCGCAACACAAAGAAAATATCTTGCTAAAGTAAATAGAACTTTGGTCTTAAAAGCGGCCATCGATTTAGTGTCGTTATCATGTACACATTGTTTAAAGGTTGTACTACATTTGAATAACACCTGGTGCTCTTTGAAGCCCTTATATTATGATTATTCCCTCCATGTCACTTGCAGAACTTAGCAGCTTTAAAGAAGATGAGTTCGACTGGGTCAAGGAAAGTGCAGCGATCGCCTTTGAAAATTTCGCTCACAAACGATGATGGCGAGGATGTAGGATCGACGGGGTAAGCTACATACAGTACATTTAATATTTTATCTAAACATACTACGAGCGTGTAATAGTACTATAGTACTACTAATAGTACTGCCCTCCAAAGGGCAACGATGATCTTCTAGGCGAGTGATATCAGATAATTAACACCCATTTTAACTATTTATGATTCCTATTAATTTCACCAAATCAAAGTCGAACGGGCGACTTTCATAGTTCATAGACTGAGTGACTGGCGTACGGTTAGTATGTGGTCTTGTTCTTGTTTTCTGTTTTTAATACCTCGGTTGCTTCGCGTTTGAATTGTTTACCTTAAGATCAACACTTCATAAGCGAGTTCATAGCTACTCCATTAGTACCTTCACGTACTTCATACCTCTCGAGCTTTACCGTTTGTTATTCATTTCTGTGAAGGCGTTAATTAACAATAATAGTTGTTTACCCCTATGATTATACTCCTCTATTTATACTTCGTATTAATTCACAAATGGACCAGTTATACTAAAAAAATGTGTCTGCTAATGACCTTTCAATGACAAAGCAAAGATTTCCAAATTGAAACGAAGATTTCTAAGGAAAGTAGGTACCTAAAGTGTTCAGTTCTAAGTTTTTGGCTTCTGACGTTGATTCATGTCTTGCAGCAGGGGAAAAGAAAAAAGAAAAAAGAAAAAAGAAAAAAGAAAAAAGAAAAAAGAAAAAAGA